CCCCCCCCCCCCCTCCCTACCCCCAGGCCTCCGTTGCTATCCCACCCGCTACTCGGGAAACAGAAGGAAATCGCACTCAACACACTTGTGTGTTGGTGCCTTTCCTTCTGTTTCTCCTAGCTATTGCTAGCTACCCGGGCGGTTTAAGACGAATGTCCCGCTCGCCTTCTACTTTCGTTTAACTAAGTGGGCCTCGTAACTACCCTACTTTTCTTTCTTGCCCTCTTAGTCTGCTCTTGTTTCGTTGCTTTTTCTGTCTTTCCAAGGCTTTTTAGGTGTCTACTAGTTCTTCGTTGCGCCAACAATTTGGCGCTTTTTGTACAAATGTTCCCCTGGGAGTTAGGACGCTACTGGAGGCCCCTGGCCTTACTACTACTTTGACCGCGCCGAAAACGGCTCTGTGTGTGTGTGTGTCCACCCCTGGGCAAAAGGTTTTCGTCCACTGGTCCAACGGTAGGGGGTGTCTTGAAAAAGCGCCGAAGCCGGCGACTTGTGTGTGTCCACCCCTGAACAAAGGGTTTCCTTCGACCACTCCAATCAGGCAGGGGGATCAGGGACGTTTGGCTTGGCCTGATCCAACGAAGCTCCAGCCATTCGTCAGGATATTCTCGAGGGACGCCTTGAGAACGTACCTGCAAAGTGCTTCACAAGCTGTTACCCTCCTTTTCCGCTTTTTGATTCATGGTGGTTTCGCATGATACCTTCCCGCAAACCTTTCTTCTTCCCCAGCAGCTGCGCCACCATCTTGATCGTCTCGCAACCGTTTTGAGTGAACAATGTTCAACAATACTTCTCAGCGGACTCTTTCGCCTTACCGTTCCATCACCTTCCTTCCCATCGTGAACTTGCATTAACGGAATACAAGTGTCAGAGTGTGTCGCCGTGCCATTGGAAGACGAAAAGCGTGCGACAACTAAAAAGATTTGTGATACATGCGTTGGTGCAAGCTAGAGATGTACTGAACCCCAAAACTTATATGCATGTGTTTCAACGCCCCGGGGCCATTCGTCATCCAGTTTCAAGCCCGCCCTTATCGAATTAAGCAAGCCCTTATTTAATGAAGCAAGGGCTAAACAAACTTTTAAGTTACCATCTGAAAGTTAACAAACTTTATTTAAGTTACCGCAGAAAGCGCCCGCGGTATTCATTGGGTTTTTAAACTGATGTTAATGTTTAGCGCCTGTACCCAACCCCCCTGAATTGATATTCAATGAGCTTAAGGTTAGCTGATGGTAATTTTGTTTGTTCAGAAAAGTTGTTTGGCTGCTGGACGGCCAATTCGCTGTTGAACAATCTAAGCCTCACTGAATTGAAGCAGTTGGCATTTGTAGGCACATACCCTTCTGGTTTGAATGCTGTTGGACGGCGATGTGAGTCATGCCACAGTGATTGCATGACTTGCACGCGGGAAAATCAATGCACCCAATGTCGAAACGGTGCCTCAGCTGCGAACCAGATGCCGTTTGGATCGATTCAAACGGACATACAGGAATGATCAAGAACAACGTTTGCGTGTCCTGAGGCAAGTACTTGACCCCAAGTTCCTGGTGCGAAGCATCCTGCCCCCATGGGACTTACAAGAATGGAACAGGACTTTGATGGTTGTTCAATACAGGGCATCAGCAATGCCAACCCGATGCAGGAGCAATTGGAAACACATGTGATCCTTGCCCTGGCGACTACAGTGCTTGCATCCACCCAACTTATGTGTTTGGGCATGAACTTAGAGCTGAGGTCTCAGACTTCATTTTGTTCTAAAGGCCCAAGTCATAGTGGACAATGCCCAGCAAAGTTTGAAGTGTTCAAGACTTACGACTAAACAAGCACAGGGATATACAGATACACACTTGGACTTGGGTGGTCACATGTTACTTCATAGGTTTCATTTCATGCTTCCAAATGCGCACTAGCTTGTTGCAGAACTATTTCTCCTGGATTGTGCTACTTCAGGCGACTGAATGCAAGCACGCAAAATTCTTGACGCCAGACGCAGCTTGCAGAGACACTTGCCCACAAGGTGCTGTGGGCTCAACATTTCAAGGACTTGCAAGTGAATCAAGTATATATACGCACAAACACATACATGCATGCATACATAGATATATATATATATATATTTATAGATATATGTAGTCTAATTCATGGATTTATGCACCCCCCCGGACCCAGGAACTGCCTTTTTGCTGTGTTGCAGGCGTTCGCAGTCTATTGCAGGGAAAGACTGTTTATACTTGCCAGCTCTTTCTCTTCTAACCGCTTTTCAAGGGAGTCAGGTGACATCATAATTGCAAGAATATCACACCACATATAGTGAAGGATCAGCCTTCTTTGGCAAATTGCCGTCTGCGCCAGTACCAAACTACTTTTGCACTGCAACATACAATAGCAGTCGTTGTCGTTCTAATTTTTGCTGTCTTCCTGAATTCTATTGGTGTCTCGTCATCTACTAAACTGAATATGTTTGATTGTGCTGTGCACTTAAACATTCCTTACTACTGTCGTTATGAGTACGAGTTGACAGCTGACAATCCAAAGTTTACTGATGTAGCAGTAAATATCCTCGCCAGTATCAATTAACTTTTTGACTTGACCATTCTCAGCACGTGTCAAGATATCAGACGATTCAGAGAGCTTTTGCAATGTTGATATATATTCCAGAACCATTCAATTTTGTGCAGCCGTATACTGTATAATCGACCTTTTTTCCGTCTACTACTGAAGAAATCAGACGGATTATTCCATGGCACCAGCTTTGAATATTGCTGGATCATCAGGATTATACAGGTATAACGGTATAGCATGTTCTTTACCGGCATGCAAACCTTCCCTGTTATGTGCTGTTTTTGCAATATCAGGCACATCTATATAATTTGGTAGTTTACTTAAGAGTTCTTACAACACTGCTTGTTCATATTTGTTGTGCCTGTTTTTCACCCTTGCGCCGGCACCCAGGGAAACTTTAAAACATTTGGGCAAACCTCCTAGATTCTTCATTTGGCTCAAACAATCTGATCTCCCAGTAGCAACTACCACATTGTGTTTGAATTTTATGCATATCCCCAAGAAGATTTCAGGTATTGGGCTGGCTTTAACAAAGATTGTTGGATTTGCCGCCATAGGCTTTGGACTTTACCATGCACCACAACCACAGAACAGAAACTGACGTCTGATTAGTCGATTAACACATGTGTGTTCAACTATTCACCTCGCCAACGCGATCTTTGCAACGAATCTCCTGGCTATCACACATCTCAATGTTGTTCAATTGCATACCAAGTAGCAAATTCAAATATGCAACCCCCAGCTCCTTCACCACTGACAACTACATTAATGTCATCAATGTTTTACGTTGAATCTCTGAAGTTCTTCGATGCTGCAAACAAATCCAGATCATCATGAAAAGCAGGTATATCAAACCTTTGTTGAAATTCACTCTCTATCAGATAGGCAGGAGCTTTAATATCGTCAAGCTTAATCACGCCAAAAACATCCAATAGTGGCAACTGATGGCAACTGCATCAAGAAAACTATCCACATTGCTATCGTCGACCAATAAATACATCAAATGCATCACAATATCAGGAATCCTACAAACATGTTACAAAGGTTGAAGGAGGTAGTTGGTAGTTATCAAAGAGCCACCCAACTTATATAGAGAGCTTGAGACATGCCCGCACCTCCAGTAGCAGGTGTTCGTTTTGGGCAGCTGACATCCTTAATCAATGCAAATGTTACATGCATGAATCATGAATACACATCCTCAAGGCTTTAAAGGGGCAAACGTGTTCAATGCCTGACCTTAAACGAGACCTCGACAGGCTCACAATCTATGGATACGTTTTTGTCGGAGCTTTTTCCCGAATGTGTAGCAAACGGTTCCCGTTATCGTGGGGTTCTCGGGGCTGGACCCGTGTAAGTGTAAGACATTCTGAATCAACATCAGATTTACCAAATCCAGGTGAAATTCGCCTCCAGTCCCACAAGAGTGTCCTACCAGGGCACCCCACAAGTGCCCTACAAGAGTGTCCCACAAGAATGCCCTGCAAGAGTTGCCCTCCAAAGGTGCGCAAAGAGTGTCTAGCAAGAGTGGCTGACAAGACTCTCCCACAAGAGTGCCCGACAAGAGTGTCCCCAACTGACTGTCCGACAAAAAAGCATACAAGAGTGTCCCACAAGAGTGTTGACCTACAGAGTTGCCCACTAGAGAGTCCAAGAGTTCCTCCCAACAGTGTCCAAGAGGAGTGTCCCACAGGTGCGCGGCACAAGAGTGTCCTTTTAGAGCACCGCGCAAAGAGTCAAGCAAACATGTCACATGTGTCTAGTCACCCCAGAATGCTCTTGATTCGTGTTTTTGAAATGTCAACCAAGAGTGTCAAAAGACATTTGGCCGTTTTACATGTGTGCATTCTGGTTCGCCGGTTCGTGAACTCTGTCAGGTTTTATATTTTGAGGTGTCGGTGTTTCCTACATTTGTCTGCAGTTGACATTCAAAAAAACTCGGCAGGCTCAAACAAAATTCAAAAGCATCGCTTGGGTGGTAGGAGGGGTGAACTGGTGATGCGGTTTGTTAAAGTCAGATGTACTTGCATTGAGGATTTGCGTAGCTTCAGTTCATTTTGCGTTTTGCTATATCCCCCGATGTCAGGAATTCATAGTATGGCACCCATTTGCCAGGACCAAAATATAGCGCCCCTAGAGAACACACTGTAAATAGCAAAGGTAGGTCTGGGTGTTTGTAAGAAATGGACTATATAGTTTTTTTCGTTTTTCCCCAATAGCCATGCTATGGGGTCTTGCAAAACTAATAGGCGGACGGGCGCCGTCGGGTCACCGTCAGAGCTGGTGGGCGGATGGTGTCCCGGTCATGTTTTGATGGCGTCCGGGTCATGTGATGCTGGTGTCCCGGTCATGTTTTGATGGTGTCCCGATCATGTTTTGATTGTGACCCAGTCATGTTGTGATGGTGTCCTGGTCCTGTTTTGATGGTGTCCCGGTCATGTTTTGATGTTGTCCCGGTCATGTTGTGATGGTGTCCCGGTCATGTTTTGAAGGTGTCCCGGTCATGTTGTGATGGTGTCCCGGTCATGTTGTGATGGTGTCCCGATCATGTTTTGATTGTGTCCCAGTCATGTTGTGATGGTGTCCCGGTCGTGTTTTGATGGTGTCCCGGTCATGTTTTGATGGTGTCCCGGTCATGTTGTGATGGTGTCCCGGTCATGTTTTGATGGTGTCCCGGTCATGTGATGGTGTCCGGGTCATGTTGTGATGGTGTCCCGGTCATGTTTTGATGGTGTCCCGGTCGTGTTGTGACGGTGTCCCGGTCATGTTTTGATGGTGTCCCGATCATGTGATGGTGGCGCGGTCATGTTGTGATGGTGTCCCGATCATGTTTTGATTGTGTCCCAGTCATGTTGTGATGGTGTCCCGGTCCTGTTTTGATTGTGTCCCGGTCATGTTTTGATGGTGTCCCGGTCATGTTGTGATGGTGTCCCGGTCATGTTTTGATGGTGTCCCGGTCGTGTTGTGACGGTGTCCCGGTCATGTTTTGATGGTGTCCAGTCCTGTTGTGATGGTGTCCTGGTCATGTTTTGGCGGTGTGCCGGTTATGTTTTGATGGTGTCCGGGTCATGTGACGGTGTCCCGGTCATGTTGTGATGGTGTCCTGGTTATCTTGTGATGGTTTTCCCGTCATGTCATGTTGGTGTCCCGGTCACCTTGTGATGGTGTCCCGGTCATGTTGTGATTGTGTCCCGGTCATGTTGTGACGGTGTCCCAGTCATGTTGTGATGGTGTCTCGCTCATGTTGTGACGGTGTCCCGGTCATGTTTTGATGGTGTCCCGGTCATGTTGTGATGGTGTCCTGGTCATGTGATGGTGTCCCGGTCATGTTGTGATAGTGTCCCGGTCATGTTGTGATGGTGTCCCCGTCATGTCATGCTGGTGTCCCGGTCACCTTGTGATGGTGTCCCGGTTATGTTGTGATGGTGTCCCAATCATGTTGCGACGGTGTCTCGGTCATGTTTTGATGGTGCCCTGGTCATTTTGTGATGGTGTCCCGGTTATGTGATGATGGTGTCCAAGGAAGAGATGGTCGATGTGTTGAAAACAGCAGCTGTTTCGAGATGTTTCTTTTTGTCCCGGTTTGTATCTTGCTATTGGGGTCTCCAGCTGGGCTAATTTTGCACCCGGCAGGTTTTTTAAAGAGCTGTTTCCGGGGTAAGGGTTTCAGATAGCACCGTTTGGTAAAGTTGGGGGTAATGTTGGGGGTTCGTCGGCAGGGCACCTCTGTGGAGTTTCTTTTGGACCTGTTTGGGTGCTTGCCTGCGAGGGGGACCTTTTAGGCAGGTGTTCTTAGGCGGAGGGCATCTCTGTGAGGTTTCTTTCGGGGGCTTGCCTGGGAGGGGGGCTGTTGGGGACAGGATTTGGTTCAGATGTCGGCTTCCGCACGTGTTGAAGTGCACGTAACCTGACCGGCATCGACAATCGTGAGGTTAGCCTTCCATTTGTTGAAGTCGATCAGACACATCCGGTTTGCCGTATGGAATGTGGCGATCGAGGAAACAGGGTGAAAGACATGTATGTTTGCTGCGGCATGAATGTTTGAAGCATTGAATGTTTGCCCACTCACAAGGGAAAGACATGTGTTCAAAGCTCAAAATAGGAAAATTGGCACACGAGGGCTTTAAGTCGGCCATGTTGGTTTAAATGTCCAAACATGTCAAGGAAGAGCCTTGCAGCCCAAAACACGTCAGCCACAACCTTGGGAGACACGACCCCCCGAATTGACCATGTCAATTTGAAACTGCTGCTTCTGCAAACGGAAGAGCTTTGCAGCCCAAAGCATGTCAATAAAGAACCTTGCGGGGCACGGCCCCCCAAATCTACCAGGTCCCTGTGAAACCCTTGCGCCCCAAAGCATGTCAACGGCCCCAAATCTACCAGGTCCGATTGAAGCCCCCCAAAACATGTCAATACCCCCAAATCTACCAGGCGCGGCTGAAACATTTGCGCCCCAAGACATGGCAATAAAGAAGCTTGGAAGGTATGGCCCCCAAATGTACCAGGTGTGTTTGAAACTCTTGCGCCCCAACAACATGTCAATCAGGTCCGTTTGAACCTTGCACCCCAAAACATGACAAACATATACTGCCCCCAAATCTATCAGGTCCGTTTGAAACCTGAGGCAAACATGTCGAAACAGCGCCCAAAACAATAGCAAACAGAGAGAAATGATATGTCTCTCTGGGTACGAAGAAGAACGCACATGTTCTTCCACAAGCTAGCAGTCTGCGTTTCAACTGCTTTGCAATGAACGCGCAACTCAAACGTTGTGTGACTGCAGGCTACTTCCAAGAGGGCCTTGGTGAGCTTGGGAGGCATTGCCCGCGATGCCATGACGGGCTTGGGAAATGCGATCGCGACAGACAGAGCACAGGGATGTAAGATGCATGACTGAGTATCCAGATGCTGCACTTCCCAAAACTCGCATGTTCCCTCAGGAGAACTGCAAGTCTTGTTCAGCACCGGCTTTGTGCACAGTTTGTGACAATGGAAAGTTCTTGAGCCCGAACATGTGGTGTTTGAAGCCCAGCTAATTCTGCCAAAGGTCAAAACGATTGGACATATAGATTGCTAGTGCAGTGAACTGGCTGGTTTCACTTTGCTGGTTTGGTTATGTGTGTGTGTTTCATAATATATACTGAGGTGATGACACATGTCCTGATGGTTACTACCGAAATGGATCTGGCAAGATTGGAAACACATGCCCAGCGTGTCCGAAGCACGCAAGCAAGTGTCTCAATGCCTCGCATTCCATTGAGTGCAAGGATTCTCGCCACCTGACGGGGATTGGGCCAAACGCATGAACTCAAAATTGTGAGTGAAAACAAGGTATATATATAGATCATTATAGATCTTGAGAATCTAGGTGAACTGAGATCATGACGGGTCCAAACTGGTTGAACAATCAATCATCATGTCCTTTACAGCAGGTGCCAAGTGTTCACGGTGGGGTGAGCTGGGAGCATGCTCACATTCTCACTGAGGTTACTTGACACCAGACTTCACTTGCGAGGTGGATTGCCCTCGAGGTCTTTTTCAGAAAGGTGCTACCACAACTGGACGCGTTTGCTCCCAATGTCCGAGCAATTGCACTCTTTGCGTGAAAGGCACTGCATGCCACTTGACTGTGAATTCTGCAGATGTAAGCCAGTCAAACCAGAAACCTGCCGTCCTTGCTCGGTGCGCTCAGGCAGAGAATGCAGGAACAACCTCTATCTCACCCCGAAGTTTTTGTGTGAGGCCGAGTGCCCGTCTGATCATTATTATGAGCCAGCATCGTCATTGAAGCAGATTGTGCGGGCCTTGTGATGTTGCTTGTTTAGCTTGACATTTGCAAAACATGTTTCTGTACTTGCTTCATCTTGAAAAGCTGCCCCTGCTTGAAACCAGTTGAAGGATTGGAAGAAGCTGCCTGATCATAGTTGCGGCGGCAATGAACTATGGCAGTGGTCAGGTGGGGGAGACTCGAAGCAACTTGCACACAAAGTGGTGGTGGTGCTTGCTGTTTGTCGTTGGTTGTAGTTGCCGCCACAGCCGCTTCTGCTGATGTTGCTACTCTGCGCCTTGGTCGAGGTATGGCGAGCAGTTTGTAGACAATTTGGTGGGGTGCCAGCTCATGTGCATGGCCAGAGCTGAATGCGCAGCCTTTGAGATGCGCCTGAGACTCAGTTCGTCGCAGCGCATTTGCCGTGTTGCAGATTGAGCATCCTTCTATTTTGTTGGGTTGCTCTTGTCAAATTTTAGTAAGATAGACTTCAGTGCAGGCCAGCAGAATTATTTTCCTAGCGCTTTCTCTATCACTGCACAAGCCTAGGTGATGACAGCAACAGTTGTTCTTTCTGGAAAGCTGAGCCTTTAGCCCCGAAAGCAACGAAAGGAATTCATTGTTTCCAAAAAGTTGGCAGCGGGCCTCAGTATGCAGCTGATCACAGCTTCATAGCTTCACAAGAAGAAAACATAGAAGAGCTATGTGTTCTTCTTGTGAAGCTATGAAGCTGCACACAGCCGTGAAGATATCTTTGTTTTATTATTGTCATTGTTTAAGCATGCTTTCTTACACGCTGCGATATGGTCCTGCTTGTGCTTCAGGTCTTGTGCCCAAAAAAGCCAAAGCAACAACAGGGGAAGTTGTGCTTCCTGCTGCAGGGATTGCATCGATGAGCGCCCGGGATGCAACCAGACGGAACGTGTCATGATGTCATCTAATTTGCAGCAGCAACAGTGGCCTTTTGTCTTGTCGTTAGGAGTGGGATACCAGTTTCTGTGCCACTTCCAGGTTCTAGCCTGGAGAGCACTTTGCCGCGCCTTTGCCACTCGAACGAAGCCACATGTTTTGCTACAAGCTTAACTTTCAGTGTAAGATGAGCACCTGAAAGATCGGTTGATGTAGGAAACACCAGCCAGAATGGGGGCGAGAGAAGTACTACTACCTGTTAAGCCACTTGTTAAGCTTGAGGGCATTTAAGATAAGAAACGCCCGTTGAGATGCCTCCCAGATATACCGTGTCGGATTTCATTCATGGGTTATGTAACAGCGTGGGCGTAAGTATGACATGTACTAGGCCCGCTTTGATACTTGGCATGCTTCAGTTTGTTTGATCCTTGAGACCTTGGAACGGCAGTTCCGAAAGCCTTGATGTGCTTGGTATTACCTGCAAACAATGAATGAACTGTAAACAGCCTATGTTCGCTCCCCTCTTTTCCTTCAGATTCCTATCTATCAACTGTTGGATTCCTCAGCAAGGTAAACAAATGACATGTTGTTTTCAAGTAGCTTGTCCATTCAACGAAGTTCAAACATGTCCGCAAAAGGTATCCCGTTTGTAGCAGGCCGCAACAGTACAGGAAAACTATAATTGGAGGCCTTTATTCATACTACGAGCATCTAGGTGGGCTGTACATGATATCATAGTACTATCATATGTCACAGTACAATGTAGGATTTGACAAGCTTGAGGTTCACTTCAGAAGCCTGATGTTTGCATTGGCGCCGCTTTCAGGCAACGACGGGCTTGTAGCAACTCGGTGCAGTTCAACGTGGAATGAGGCGGCTGGAGAACAGCACCCTTGGCAGCTCGGTGGACAGTGCCGAGTGGTGGGCAATGGCAACTAGGAAAGTCGTTGTCACTTCATGATATTGACCTTGTAGCATGAACTCCAACGGACACCAAGATTCACACGTGGAGGGCAAGTGCATGAAAACAAGGGATTCGAGCTGGATTGGCTCTTATGGTACTATTATCATGACTTGGTGGTTGCAGGGTTCCATGTCTAGCCCACTTTGTCCTTCCTTTCTTTTGTTCCTTCTTCTGCATGACTGAGCCTGAGCTTACAACTCTGGCCGCAAGTCGACAAGACTTCGCCAGCTGTGGTCGGTAAGTTTGTTAATGTTTTGGCTTAGTGTTTTTGAGAAGAAGTTGCGGAACAGGTGTGCCATGCAATCTTGTGTCTAGGAGTGGAGGCGTTCTCAATCTATCGGATATGATAGCCATGGTATTAATCCCTTCCATACTAAAAAAAACGGCCCCCCCCCCAAATAAGGAAACCTCGGTCGCATTTTTTCTAATAGGGGGTCCCTGAAATCGGGGGGTCCAAAATAGGGTCACCTGGGAAGAGCTTCAACACCAAAAAGTAACCCAGGATTTTTTTTAGATAAAATCATTTATTAAACTCGTATCAAAAATGCAAAAAACCTCCAGATCGAAGGGTCTTCCTTTTCCCCTACAAGCTAAAGCTTTTGAAAGGTGATGTCGCTGTGCCATGCGGTGTTGCATGACCTCGGTGGCAAGTGCGTTTGCATGAGTCCGTGCCATTGGGGGAAGGAAAGCCTGCTGGTGTAAGCGCGGCGTGTCATGGTGGATAGACAGGGCGGACAGAGGTGGGCAGTTACGGTTGTTTTTGGAACCCAAGTAAAACAAAAAACATCCAAAGTCGGCCATGTTGGTAGTTTAGTAGCGGCTTGAAAGGGCGGTAATTTAAACACAAATATACCGTATTTACGGGGATCCGACCTGACTTTTTTCTTAATTAGGGCACGCTTTTAATTAGGGGCCTCTTTTAGATAAGTACTCGGGATTATTTGGAACAGGGTTACATCACTTCTCGGAAGCTTCGAGTTGTGCTTCCCTGCCTGACAGAGAGGAAACAGGGGCTCACGCCTCATGCCTTGAATTCCACCTGCAAACGGCTGGCTGTGGTGGTGTGAGAGAAACAGTCCCTCATATAATTCAAAAGCTTTTGGGTTCAGTATAGGGCATGTTCGAAGCTGCAGTCACGGTGACTGCTTTTGACCGGCCTTTGCAGTGCATTCAATTGCACAAATAGAGAAGCGTACCAGGGCTTTGAATCCAGGCGCAGCGAGGCATGCCAACCTCATTGGCTCAAGTGGCGAAAACAAGTTTGGGCGGACTGGGCAGTCGATCGTTTTCAGTCAGGTTCACAACCACAAGTCACGAAGTGTGCCATTATTTTCTTTTTGATACTGTATATGGTAGTGCAGCTCCTGTCAGCAGCACAGGTTCAGGTGCTTCCAGGTTTTCGCGTGGCAGTTCATCACTTAGTGACTCGCGAGCCATAGCGGATTATAGAAATCAAAGTGACAGAGCTTACTAGCACTGAGCAGCTTGGGGTGCTTCAAGAGTTGAGTGCTTGCGGCCTGTGCCCTGCCACACGTGCATTTTTCCGGCTTCTCGTCAAAATGAACTCCATCAGTCAGGCCAGTCCTGCTGTAGTAGGCCGAACAGTCCATGCGCCGCTCAGGTCAGGTTACATCATTGCTTCCAATGCACCCACAGGGCATTGCAGCCCCAATCACCGCGCCCCAAGGTTCGACCATGTTCGACTCATGACCAAACTGACGATAATCCGTTCAAGCGTTTGGACAAGTGGATGCCACCTGCCCCGTCCCCCCCGTATTAAGGTTGAAAGGCAAAACGCGCTGAGATTGTCGGCTTTAACAAACGCGTTGCAAGTTTGGATCGAATTCGTACCCATTAAGGGTCACGGGAGGACCAATCGGGCTCGCATAGGTTGACGCGCTTCAAGAGCCACCCCAAAATATAGTGACCCGTTGCTGTGAGGAAAGCAATGGATTCCATCGTTGTTGTGGATTTGAGTATTTGCGACGCTCACCGGAATCAATCAGTTAGCCAGCGCACAACCGCTGCCAAGCCCTTTCCAGAAGGCGTTACCAGGTGGAGTGGGGCGGACAACTCGCTGATGTATTGCTGTCAATACGCGAGCGCTTGACACTTTGGAAGCAGACAAAATATCTTTGTTGTTGCGCGCGCTTCCCCGACGATGTGGACAGTGGGCTGTCTTTCCCGGATGATTTGATGCACGTTTTGAGACACACATGAAAGCTGCGCTTCGCTATGAATCGTAGCGGCGAACTGGTCAGATTTGAATCGTTGGCCAGACAATGGCGCCCATGAGCGCCTCTGGTGATACAGGTATAGGGACAAAGGAAACAAAGACAAAAGGGAAGCGTCAAAAGGTTTTTAACGTCAGGCCAAGGGAACAGGAGTAGGCAGTGAGACCAGAACCTGTTTCGATTGCAACCAATTAGGCCGTCGAAAAGGCACCGAAACCCCAAGGAGAGGACGCTTCTAAGAGTCCAGGGAATGGCAAGGGCAAAGGAGGAAAGGGAAGTGGGCAAGGAAAGAAAGGGGAGACAGGGAAATCCAAGCCCAAGCGCGACGAAATTCTTGCAACGACTAGAGACAGACGTCGGCGCTATATGGTCTGAGATGTTGTTGCGAAGCCGTTTTTGATTTGTCAAAGCGCTGGGGCGTCAGACCGAATTGGTGTGCTTGTGGGTTCACGAGCTAGTCGCACGGTTGTTTCGAGGTACACGCGGCTACCGTGTCTTGAGAGCATGGGCGTGTCAGATCCATCAGGAATGCATGCTTGAAGCCATCAACTTTCCAACCATCAGTGGACGTGATGATCACGATCACGTCAAGATGGTCAAGTATGAGATTCGAGCTGTACTGGGGCCAGCGGAGCGCAGGTTGTGACTGTTTCCGGATTGACTCAATTAGGCGCAACCTTTGTGTATGGTCTTTCTTGACTTCTGTTCGCGACGTCAGGAGACCTGCCGATTCAATTGGAGCAGCGCAGTTTCCTTTTGGACTCGCCCGCGTCGTCGGAAGCGCCGTGGGAAGATCAGGCGGAGGGAACTCGGCGACCGCCCATTGGCGAAGGGGACGGCCGAAGATCAAGATCACCCACGCAGTGCATCCTGGCTTCAAAGAGCGCGACGTGTTGCGCAAGAGGTTTCAAGTGGAGGGGCCTTGGCGCAAAGTCTAGGAATCTTGAGCGCTACGCCTATAGTGTGGAAGCCTTTGGTTGTTCCTTGAGTGTGATTGATTCAGTATCACGGCGCGCGTTTGGCTGGCTTTGACATTTCGACCGCCTTTTGAATAGCTTCGAGGCATGTGCGCTCGTGGGGCTACCTGCTCTGCAGACTGTTTGTTCGAGGGACAAGTCACCGAACGGACCTAGGGTGACGCACTTGTGAACCCTCACGCACTCATCATTGCGCGAGCGAGCCCATGATCGCGGGCGGTCTAGAAAAGTCTGCGCCCCGCGCGCCCACTGTGATCTATGTTGCTGTTTTTATTGTCGGCTCACCTTCACTACAGGGCCCGGATGTTCGTGAATCCCCGTCGCAACATCGAAGGGCTCAGGCGGGGCGATTGTCTTTTGGGCAGACATATTGTGAGGCCGGCAGCGTCGAGCGATCTCCTTGTGTGAGCGCCGCCACAGTATATCTGAAGGATTTAAATGACCCTTTTTGTTGTGGCCTGAAACCATCAGATACACCACCAGAGTTGCTGCGAGCGTTGGAGAAGGGCATGGTTGCGATTTAGAACAAGCAGGAGAACCATCGGGAACGTGTCCAGGCCAGACCAAGCCAGTTCTCGCAACAGGGCAGCCGACGCCGACAAACTTGCGCGAGACGGAGAAAGTATCTCAGGTATGTCCAAAAGCAACTTCACTTGTTCCAAGGTCGACTTGTGTATACATGGAAAGTTTCAGTAGTTGTAAGGACGTTAGGTTATCTTCATGCGCGCCAGCGGCGCAAGAATGTGGTGGAAAGCGACGCGTAACAGAGTACTTGGCCGAAACAAGTTTCTGAAGCTGTCCACTGGAGTTCTTGAAGTTAGGGCTTGATGAACACCGAACGGAACTCTCAGCCTTTGATCTTTTCAAGTACGCGGTCACGTCTCAGGGCTCCAAGCAACCAGGGAGGGTTGAGCAGGAGTTACTATCACCACAGTTAGTTGAGTTTTAGGACAAGAAGAGTGGCAGTTCGTCGCAATGAAAGATGTCTAACGGCTCAAGAGGTCTGCGGGCAGGTCACGGAGTTCCACGGCCAGAAGCCAGGCGCCTCAACTTCTTCGATAAGGAAGGGCGCTTGGGAATTTGCGAGGTTCATCGGGTCTAAAGTGAAGACCGGGAACGTGAGCCGCGTCGTCGTCATAGATTTGAAGTGCGTGCCCCAGCGCCAACGCACGGTTGGCGAGTTGAGTTCACGCGTTGTCGTTCCAGTTGCTAAGGACGATGGTTTGAGATGCGTGTATGAAAGTTTGAAACCGTGGGTTTCTTGCTGGATTGCCAGCGCGCGCATGCTCAGCGTTCTTGAAATGACAGAGAGAGACGCTTTTTTGGAAAGCAGATATTCAGTCCAGGCGTGCTGCCGACGTCGTGACTTCCATCGCGTCGTAGATGTATCTACGCTTGCGCGCGCGAATGGGGAGAAATTTGCAGCCTTGCGCGAGTTTTGTTTTGCAAGCAGAATCTGTCAGCTGAGAAAATAGCAACGAGGCTTTGCTGTTAAGTCAAAGAACCCAGATGAATTTAAGCCGATCGTGCGAAATCCATTTGCGTTGGACTTTCGGTTTAGGAACTTGCGGTTCGGCCAACAGGTTTCTGCGCGCCACGACTCATAGGGGCGGTGGTGGTGGTCGTGGTGGTGGCGGTGGCAGTGGGCAGCGGTGGTTGTGTTGCTGCCGCTTCCATTTTGGTGCGCGCGCGCTCCTTGTGACTGGGCGCTCAAAAACATTTGCGCTTTGGAGAAACGCAGTCTTTTTCTCGTTTATACCTTGCCATTGTTCTTATCAGCGCGGCGCGCAAGCTCAAGCAGCGGCGCGCAACCCTTCCACACCTCAGATTGCTGTTGAATAGGGCCGCTACTTCACAAGATAAATTCTGCATGCAGACACGTTCGATATTTCCCCAAACAGGTTTACCTGCGAGGGGCTCTTACTCCTTTGAAAGGGTCGGGCCGCGTGATTTTACATTTGTCTCCGGGCTTACGTTCCTGCCACACTGCGGTTGCTTTGGCCACATGATGTTACAGTTGTCTCCCAATGCACTTGTCTCCCACTTCTCTCGCTACGTGCTCTGCCTGCGTGATTTTGCACTCGTCTCCCGCTTGTCTCCCTTGTCTTCCTTGTCTCCACACTGCTGCTCTGGGCGCGTGGTTTTACACTTGTCTCCTACTTGTCACCCTTGCCTCCAGTACACTCTGGGAAAGCTTTAACATCTTTTAACCAAACAAAGCATGATAAAACCACATGTCAGTACAACTCAGCGTATTCAGTAGATTTGCGTATGTTCTGTTTTCTTCCAGTTCTGACTTTGAACCAAGTGAGCCAAGTGCTGAAACAAACCCAGAAGGTCCGAGTTGATCACCGCGAGCTGGAACGGTTTGAGCCGTTGACGGTTTGACAGTTCGTCTCTGCGGCTTGCTTCATAGACGCGCAAACTGTTTGGGGTCTACGCTGGTATAATTTATCTGGGCCCTGCGTTGATCATAGAACTTTGGACCAGTTCTGTTCCTCCTTTTCAACAAGGTAGTTTCCCACCTGCCATGGACGTTTCTTCACTAGCGAAAACAGTGTAAATATGTGGAGGCTTGATTACTAACTTACGATGAGCCAGTGACCAAATGAGCGTTTGTTGAAGGTTGTGTTACATCTATATCTATACCTATATAACAGCTAATAACAGCCATGCCGCTCCATGATGTTTCATTGTGAAGTGCGTTCGAAGTAATTCAAAAACAAATCTGACTTACTGACTGTTTGTTGGGGGCTCACCTTTCTTTTGCCCGTGTTTTCATGTTTTCTACATTTTTTTACCTTGAACCAGTTCAAACCAGACGGTCTCAAGTGTGGTTCAGCTGATGTGGCCAGCGTGGCAAGCGGTAGAAGCAGCGATGTTGTTCATGCGTTTGCGTGAATCCAGGTGGCAATTAGACCTTGGGGCCAATGAAACGGTGGTGAAGGTCCGTGTCTTGAACCAGCCAGAAAATTGTGAGGCCACGGATGGTGTGGACAGATGTTTTGAGTTTGCACGTTTGCAAGTTGCGACGAAGCAGAAGAGAAAAAATTGCAAGTTTGACTCAGTTCACAAACGTGGATTGACTAACATTGACACACACTGCAGGCATTGTCCGAGGAATTGACTGGTCTCCACTGCTCTTTGTTGGGTGGAGTTGTGGGTGTCAGCAAGAGGCCTTGTGAGAAAGGCCAGGGCAGAGAGGGGCAGAGCACCTTTCGAAGCAGTCAAAAGCACGCACAGCACACATCAAGAGTATCCTCTATGCATTCAGTAGTTGCCGACTGGCCTGCAGGCAAACTTTGCAACGGCACAGTCTGCGGAAATTTTGGCAGCAATACTATGGGTTGGAGTTGATCACTCGTTTTGTGGTTTGAGTCTAAAGTCTAAAATCTAAAGTACATGGGATGCCAGCCGAGGAACATTGACGCAACCAGGAGCTGATAAATGGTATGAGGTTTCTTGCGACCGTTCTGAAGGGCGCTATGTTTACCTTCAACTCCAAGGACGACGTGATCAACTGCACATTGTGCTCAATGTTCAGGTTCATGAAACTTATGCAAAGGTCAAATGGTCGCCAGTTTGAATGTTCTTGACCATTCAACCGATTGTGAGTGCATTTGCACTGGCCGCTGCCAAGTCTCGAGGATACCGAGTTTTGAACTTCCATGAGCTCGTGGCCTACAAGGCTGTGTGAAGTCAAAGCAAATATCAACAAGGTTCCAGCATTTTATCAAATTTTATCTATTTGAGACGAGAACCTCCAGCACATGACGCAAGATATGTTCATCAGGTATCAACCAGCGAATCCTGTGTCGAGACCTGGCAAATGACCAACATCGTGCAGAAAGGTGCGACAAGGGAAGCCCAGGGAGCACAGTAGCAAACAACGGTGATTGTTTTGGCCTTAATGCCAGCTTGATGCTCCTAAAAAATTGCAAACCAGTGCACGAGACTTGCACATGATTTTTGGTGGAGACAAAGGCTTGTCGAACTGCCACACATCCACAAGTCAACAAAAGAGTAGTTCTTGTGGGTTTGCATGTCGTGTGTTTTCACAAGTGCAAGGCGATACCTTCATTGCAGCAAATCAGAATGGTGGAGATGCTTTTGCAGTTGCAGGGCCTGTGTCAAGCTTGGCTTTCAAGCCTGGCCAGGCCAGAGTATTTGTTCCATTCTTTTTTGACACCTGAGAGGACAGAATGGAAAAGGAGGCCAACGTGGGCCGAATTATGTGGGATCCGTCTTATGATGGGTCGATTTGGTATAATTTGGGCATTTTGAGAGTGCGGAACCGTAGTGCTCCGCTGGAAGTTGGCGCCTTTTTGACACATTGAAGTGCAGAACCATGTCAGGATGATCGGTCTGTATGGGTCGGCCTAACCACCGACCCCACAGACGAGAAGGACTTTGAAAATGGTAGGTTTGTCCTCTTGACAGCGCATGGCTCTATATTGATCGAGACTTGGTATGTATAGACTGCAAAAATGTTTTCTTTAGTCTTTAGACGACAAAGTATATCTTTGGTAGACGTGGGTCATATTGTTTTTCTTTGTGAACTTGTTTTATATTATATATTTATTTACTTGCCTGTGTCATTCGACATTTGCATTTGCTTGTTGAACTTGTCTAGGATGGTGCAAAGAGTGAGATGACCTACACTACAGAAGATTACCTTCGATTGGAACTCAAAGGCTGAAGAAATCCAGCAACTAAATGTACTGTCTCAGAGTCTCATTCACTAGTTTCTTCTTTTTGCTTTGTTTCTTTAACATTTGGATACATTTGGCACAAAAACAAGTTGTTCTCCAGCAAGCTTGATCCATTTTTGCTGCTGCCTTCTAGGTTTCTAGGTTTTGCAACTTGCACACAGCATGTGATTGTCACAAGCGTGTCATTGCAACACAGTGGCAGAGCCCTGTCAACAGGCAGTGACCTAATCATATCCAAGAACGGAGCTCCAATACATATCTATGATTTGGGCTCCAGCACTTCCTTGCACGGCTGGTATGCTATGATTTGGCAACTCAGCAAAACTGTTTGTTGCTGATTTGACTGTAAGACTCTTTTTGTCTCTCGATCAGTAGATTTGAGGGCGTGATGTAGTGTGCAGCGATATCGCACAATCGGTCTATCGCATTTCTTCCAGGTTTGAAGAGATGGGACCTAACGACGCAGCTGGCTGGAATCTATATATTTTGAGTTGCAAGGTCGAAATGCATGACCACAACCCTCTTCACTCGAATAAATACTAATTATCGTGAGTCTGGGAGAAAAAGCGCAAGAACCTTGTAAGGCAGTCTACTTGGAGAACATCCAGACAACTTGCTTTCCTTTGCCGGATGGCGTTGGTGGGACGTGCATGAAATGCCCAGAGGATGTGAGCAGGCCCTGCTGTTCTACTCGACTTTCCAATTCCACACCCTGAATAACTCTGGCTGTGGCACATGGAAGAAACAGATTTTCAGACGAAGCATTTACATCATGAGGAGAGAATGCCAGCTGCATAAGGTGAATGCTACAGCAGGTCGATCATTTGGGGTACTCGGTGTGGTAAATGTGCCTCTCGAGGTGTGTCAACACTTCCATCGCACTGGAATGCAAGAACGATATGTATTTGCGCAGAACTCACGACTGCGCACCTCAGTGTCCGATCGGTGACTTCCCGACTGATGGTGCCAACGGCATAGGCTTGGAGCATTGTGCGATGCAATTTCGCCACTTTCGCTACTTACAGACGCAGGACTTGATTCTTTTCTAAAGTCCTTGATATTCTAAGGGCTCCGCCCCTGGTGCCGCCGACCCCTTTTTTGTGAGACAAGGCAGCAGGGCTAGGAAGGCAACAACCGAGCCACAGACATAGTTCTGTTGCGGACACTCCGGCGAGATGGAGGAGGTGCAGCGCCTGGTGACTTCAGGAGCTGATATTGATGCCAGAGACGAGAAAGGCTCGGGCCCCCAGACTTGTGGGAGCTAGAAGGATAGCTTTCCCCAAACCCATAGTAGAAAAATGTAGCTTTGGAGACCTTGAACAACCTTGGACATATTTGGAAGCTGCATGAAGTTGGCTGATGTTGCAGCTTTGTGGGTCCAAAAAACCTTTACAGTGAGGACCCTTTCCTTGAAAAATCCGGGCCACTAGAAAAAAAAGGGCTTGGCGCGCCAGAGCCCCGAGCCCACAGTCTGCGCAACTCCGCCCACAGTCCCGCACAGAGCCCAGAGCCCACAGTCTAGCAAGTGCGAGGTTTTGGAGCGTCTGAAGCGTCCAGAATCCAGAAGTATGGCAGAACCATTGGCAAGTGCCGAAGCGTTTGAAGCGTTTGAAGGGTTTGAGGGGCTTGAGGGGTTTGAAGGGCAGTTTCGGGCCACTAGAAAAAAGGATTTGGCGCGCCAGAGCCCTGAGCCCACAGTCTGCGCAACTCCGCCCACAGTCTCGCGCAGAGCCCAGAGCCCACAGTCTAGCAAGTGCGAGGTTTTGGAGCGTCTGAAGCGTCCATGGAGCGTCTGAAGCGTCCAGAATCCAGAAGTATGGCAGAACCATTGGCAAGTGTCGAAGCGTTTGAGGGGTTTGAGGGGCTTGAAGGGCAGTTTCGGGCCACTAGAAAAAAAAGGATTTGGCGCGCCAGAG